TTCAAGTATTGAAGAAAGCAAAAAGAATAATTTACCTTCATGTCCAGAATTTAATCAACCAAAAAACCCAAAAAAGCCTTCCATTGTAAAATCTCAAAAAGTTTCGTTGCTCTTATACTCGCAAAATAGAAAAGATCAAGGAAGCTTTGCAAAAAATTCGTCAATACATTCGCGAGAAACGACTGATTTCCCTACCAGACCGATGTTTAAGAATTCATTTCCTGGAAACTCAACTACAAAAAGTTTGTTACCATTGCAAACAAAGCCTGCAAACAAAAACTTAGATTCAACTTATGCTCAGAAATCAATTATTTCGAATACTATTCCATCACTCTCCCAGATGTTACCAACTGCTAACATTTCAACATCACTTGGTTCTAATCAATATATTGCACCACAACAACAGTTGTTTGAAAACCAAAATATTGAAGGTGAACATATTTTAAATTGAAAATTTCTTTTATATTTTACAATCAAAGAAACAAGAAGTTCATTTCATGATCATTTAGCTTCCTATAAAACTGAAATAACTAGTTATAAAAGTGTACCGAAAAGTTGATTTTTATGCATTACTTTAAAACGATTTAAACTAAATTTGCACATTATATTATTAAATATACCTATTATATTATTATTATAAAAGTGTACATATTACTTTGGGTTGTGTTTTGATTTTGCTGTTCTTATAAATTTATTTAAAAATCTTTTCATGTGAAATTATTACTTTATTATTGTATTTTTCTGAAAAGTTCACCCATTGTCTTATGTAAATGTCAACCGTTTAAAGTTATTGAATCTATTTCTTGTAATCTGAAAACTTTTTTCTTTAAATGTACCATTTCATGAATTAAATTAATTTATTATTGAATTTAATGTTAAATTAATAAATAATAGTTAACTATAGCTATAACTACAGCATTTTTTATAGCATACGATATAGTGTATCATTGATTCCCTATTACACTATATATATGTAATTGATTTAATTTACTGAATGAAAATTGCTTCTTTTTTGATGGAAAATATAAGCAGGACATATCTTTAATAACTTTTTAAATATTGTGTCATTATAGATCGACTTTTTCGTAAGTCTGTGATGAGGTCATTGACCGAAATTAAGTTTCTACTAGCAACTGTTAGTGAACGCCTTGAGGATATTGAGAAAGACAAAAATGAAATTAAAAATTTAATACAAGAAAAATTTGTTAATGGAACAGGAACATTGAATTCGGACAAGATGATGAAATTGAAAAAAACTTTTCCACTTAAAGATCTCAGTGAATTAGCTAAACTAGAAACAGACCTCGTTGCAGAGGAGTTCTATCAGGATGTTGTAAGTAGAGCGTTTTATATTTGCAAAAAAGGTTGAAATATACATAACCTAAATGTAAGAATATAGTATTTTAAAATGGGCTTTAATTAAATTTATTATACAAGAAGGCACTTACTTACAAATATTTACTTAAATATAATAGGTTTAAGTAAAAAAATGACAAGTTTTATATTTTTAAAGTTTGTATAGGTGTTTTGTATTTATTATTCTTATAAAAGCATAGGTGACCGCGTCTAATTCTAAAAATCGATTTTTTTTGGTCATAAGGTTCTTTTATCATTAGATTTATGGAATGTGCATTGTTAATATTAACATAAGAAAGTATTTTCTGTCCAACAAGCGGGATAAACTCGACTTTCCGTTCATGCATAGCGAGCGAAAAATAAGCTTTTGCCGCCCGACTACTAACACTGCTTTAGAAATATTAAAAAATACTATTAATTAAAAATACTTTCACTTTATTATATAGGTTATTTTTTAGTTTTTAAGAGTTTTTTAGGATTTTATTTTTAAGAACCATGAAAACTAAGAACTAACTAAGATACTGACTAATTGACTAAACTAAAATCAAAAAGCATTTCAATCTATGAAGATGCGGCTATCGCATAAACTAGGATTATTTCAAAACATTACAAATTAAATTTTTTACGCAGCTTTGAAATTTAAAATACGTTTTTTTTGTCTATTTTTTTGTACTAAAAAGAAACAACTTGAACTTTTTATTGATCAAGCCGTTTTTAAGATATCGTGGTCGCCAGTTTAAAAACACAGTTTTCAGAAACACACCTTTCAAATTCTCTTTGCCCACATATGCTACACATATTCTACATGTGATTTATGAAACAAAATATTTTTCGATGTTTTAAAAGTAAGTTTTATACAGAATTTTGCACAGAAATGGAGTGCTATTTAAAAATCAAATGTGGTGTGCAAAATCACACATTTTTAACCGACTCTGTGTGATTTTAATACACTCGAATCTCGCTATAACGAGAAGTTTGGGAGTCAAGTCTCCCTCTTTTACGAACGCAAGAGGAGAAAAGAAAAATCCCCACTTTTAAGATTCTTCATTCATTTTTTAGTGTTTACAATTTACAGAAAATTTATATAAGTTAAAATTTTGAAGATGCTCAACTCATTGATATAATTTCAAATAAGAAGTAACTTTTTATGCTAATTATGACATAAATAAAAGTGATTTTAACCAAATTTAAACCAACAGAATGTACATTTGTTTATAAATAGTAGGGGTAATCGAAATGAAATTTTGTTCGCTATAGAGAAGGTCGTTATAGCGAGATTTGAGTGTACTGCATTTATTGTTAAAATATCACTGAAGTGTGTTAAAATAACACTAGAGTGTGTTAAATTATTATATATTATAAATAAGTTTTAAAATATCACCATTTTCAAAACTACACGCAACTAATTTAACTAACTTCTTCTGTGTATTAATCAATTTATAAAGTATAACTGTTCGAATTTGCCTTAGGATTAATAAAAATGTTTCAAATATTCAATACTTAATACATATAAGTATGTAGTATCTTGTTTATCGTGCAACTGGACAAAAAACATCGTGTGCAACTCGGGCAGAATTGGCAATTCTAACCTCGTACGATTCGAACCCGACCAGGAATAACCAACTTTCCGTCCTTGCCATACAATGTACTATTTTTAACAAAAAAATTGCGATTTGTGAAAGGATTAAAAAGCATAATTTTGTTTACAAAGCAACATAATCCAGTCTTAGCATACACATTGAGTATTACGTAAAAAATTGAGGTAGATTATCAATTTTTTTTCCAATATCAATAACATTCTGTTGGATCTAACCAATCATCATTAACCTGGAATTTTTTTCTTTCTTTTTTAATGACTTCCCAGTGGGCAAAAAACCATCATTGTTTTAAAAACGTTCCAAAAACGTTCCATTGCTTTTAAAACGTTTTAGAACCATATAACGTTTTTGGGACGTTATTTAGCAGACATGAAACGTTCTAAAAACGTTTTTGGAATGTTTTTAAAACAATGATGGTTTTTTGCTCACTGGGTTTAGGCTTTGACAACTGTTAGAGCACACAATCTTATATACCAACTATTTTTGCTAACTAATAATAATTAATTTAGTTTATGTGTTAATAGTTGAGGCGCTGAATGTTGCCATTTCCATGCAATACAGCAAGAAGTCTAAAACTAGAAGGTACATATAACTTGACTGTTTTGACACAGGTAGAAGTGAATCTTCTACCTGTGAAGGCATGTCCGAAAAGCACAGCTTTCTCAGTGTATCTAAGTCCCCCTTTTCTCACTCTTCTCGCCTTCTGCGTAAGGTACGTAAGCTTGCCTTCAGTCACTATTTTACTCATCCCTACCACTTGAGATATACTTTCTGTTTCTATAGTCGTTAAGTTTAAATTATTCGATTGTCTCAGTACATATAGCCTCCCAGCTTTCTAACCGTCTTATCGTTAGGGTTAAAAATTAGGTCTTCAATTGAGATCTTTTTATCTTATTTTACACCTAAAGTTTCCGATTCTGTAAAGATGTTGTTAAGCTCTCTTACTCGAAAACGTCCAATCGAGATAATAAAGGAAACTTATGTTTTTATAAGAAAAAGTGTTCAATTTTCTCTTATAAGAGACAAAAATATGGAAAATTGATCCAAACACTGGATCGTCAATGGAGAACAGAGCTTTGTGCTGTGCCTTTCTCGATAAACGCGATCTTTATCTTTCAAAAATGTAAACATCCAGGATCGTAAAAATTTATTCGAGTTTGGGTACCCTGTCTGGAGTTGATTGGAGATGCTACTACCTTTAAAATTTAGTTGTTGAGCTCTTGGTATAGACCCGGACCATCTACCAAAGTTAATAAAATTTCTTTTCTATAAAGCCGATCTTATCAGTGACTGATAAAAGTAGAATTTTTTCTTCTATTTACGATATTTCAGAATTTTTATGTTTACATTTGACACTTTGTAAAATGTTATTCAAGTATATTTACTAATAGTCCAATTTAAACATAATCGAATATTTATTCAACAAAATTTGATTTAAGTAAAATTTAAAATTATATTTAGCCTGTTTAATAAACATTTATTTAACTGCATTTTTATTTTATAAAATCCATAATTAGCTAAATTTACGACTAATTTACTATCGCAAAATTAGCCATTATTAAAAAATAGTTCTTATAACCTCTTTTCTTAAGCTGGGGAATTATAAAAAGAAGTAGTGTGCAAAATTTTAAAACGATTTGTTTAGTATATTTTAAGTTACGCTGCGCACAGGACTTTAAAAAAACAATTTTAAGCAAAACGGTTTAATGTTTTTCACACTAATAAGTTCAAAATAAAATTCTAAATTTTTTTACGAAGTAGTGTAGGGAGACTTAACGGGCTAGAAAACTTGGTTTTAGAATGAGGCAAAGCCTATCTCACGTTATCTGGTGGTAGATTGTTGAGTTCACTCCGCTTAGAAAAATGTTAAACTAAATAATGTCTTTTGCTGTTAAAGCATGGTGAACTATTCAATAAATATTTTACAGTGCTTTATGGAGGTCGCTCTCCATAATCCACTACAGAAAAACGTAACATAGCCATTGCCTAATTATATATTTTGAAAAAATAACAAGAAATTAAATGAATCAATATTACTTTTTTCAGCTTTCTTATCTTAACAAAATTGGAGGGAAAAATGTTAAGGATGCTGTCTATTCAATGTTGCGAAAAGTTTTTTGTAATGAGGTTGCAGCTCAATTTAGTTGGTTAGGGTGTAAAGGAAAATACAGATTCTCTTCGTTGGAAGTAACTAAAGTGATTTTGGGTAAGTTTTACATTTTTAAATGTTGTTTTAATCTTTTAATAATGCCAATAATTGCGAGAAATCAGCAACTGTTTATTTCCTTATCGCTTTCAACTTAAAATATCAAACTCCCATTCCAGTTGACCAAATTTTAATTCAAAACTTACGATTTTAAAAGTAAAATTGGAGTAGACAACCATTGGTGGGGATGGCCGGATAATTTAATACATTCACTAATCACTGATTAATAAAAATTTATTTAAATTATCCTGCCATCCAACCAAAGCCGTCTTTAGTTAAAGACATAAGATTCAATCATATTGTTGCAGTCACTAGAAAAGTTAGTTAATGTAACCAGCAAAAATAGTATATTAAGCAACAAGGGTATAAAGGCAGCCATTTGTTTACGGTGATTTTTGTGACACGAGTGGAGGTCGAGGGCACCCCGAGACCTCCACTCATGTCACAAAAATCATCGTAAACAAATTGGCTGCCTTTATTCCCATGTTACTTACGATATTTTTTATTCCTAATGCACAAAAGTGTCGATTTCAAATAGCAGACGACAGGGAGTAAAAGTCATTCACTTGTTCGACTTGTATGAAAATGGTGGCCTTTTTTTCTCATGGGCAAAAAGAACACATGGGACCAACTGTTTTTTGCCCATGGAAAAAAGGTGGCCATTTTCATATGGTCGAACAAATGAGTGACTTTACTCCCTGTCGTCAGCTATCTAAAAGCGCCATTTTTGTGCATGTGGGATAAAAATAAAGTTTACTCCCTAACAACAAGCTAATACTTTATAATATCCGTAAAATATCCTAGGGGTGTCCTCAGATATCTGGAGGATATCCTAATTTTGCAATATGACTAAGATGTCCGTAGGATATCCCATTTTATAAGAAAAGTAAACACGAATAATAAAAAAATCTTTTTTTAATTACGATAAATCACGAAAGCAGACGCGTGCACAATTATAACATTTTTTAAAGTCATTAAATGTCCTAGTCATTTGTCTATAGTTAATGCAGGTTCTTTTTACAATGTTTTGATTTGTTAAATTAATCTAAAAAACATAATTAAAATGATTAAGAATCCTTATTAATCTTATTAGATTAGGATTTACTATGGATGATCAGTTAAAATTCAATGTAGATTTTTTGAGTGTAAAATTGAGCTTATTGGAGTCATATAGTAGCGTAAGAAGACAGATCTGCATGTTTTTGATACTTTTCGGAAACAATTAAACCCTTTGATGCAAGAACCAAATGTAGCCCCATGAAGGATAGACTATACTGTCCAAACTGGTATGTTCGTACAATAAAACCGATAACTTTTGCATGAATCGGTCAGGTAAATTATGACATAAAATTTATATTTTTGCATTTAAAGTTTTAATTAAATAAAATAATAAAATTTTAAATTGCAGAAGAATAATAAATATTACTTTTAATTTACAAATAAAAATAAAATGTATACAATATGTTCAGAAAAACAAAGTGCTTACAAGTTAAGTTTGGTTATTATATATTATTTATAACTTACACGACCGATACATACGCTATAGGCGAAAAATTAAAGAATTTAATTAATTAATTAACTCCAGACGCAAAAGTGTTTTATGTCAAATACATTAGTTTGGTCTTTTGTAGTCTATTCTCCATGTGTAGCTCATTGAAATTCGTACGTGTGGTTTTTGCATTAAGGCGTTCCATTCAGTCTAGGCGCATAATCATATGAGCACCTCTGCAGGAGAAAATACAATAACAACGCATAAAATGACGGAAGGAGGTTTAGTTTATAAAAATACACATTTTTCACACAAAAATTGAGTTGTTATTAGGTTGTATTAATTTAAAAGAAAAGTATAAATAAAAGATTATTCTCCTGCCTGAAATGATTTTCTCTTAAAATTATACCCATCAACAAGATACTTCCATTTCTGTATCTTGTTTAAAAAAATTAACATATGGGTGATTCTTTGCGTGGCGCAGGATTTGGTTTATGAAATTAAAAAAAAATTATCGTAACGATAATTATAAATATATTTTTTATCCCACATGCACAAAAATGGGTCTTTCTGATAGCAGACGACAGAGAGGAAAGTCATTCATTTCTTCGACCGCATGAAAATGGCGGCCGTGTTCTCCCATGGGACAGAAAATCAGCTGTTCACATGCATTTTTTCTTGCCCATAGGAGAAAACGGCTGTCATTTTCATACAAGTCGAACAAATGCATGACTTATACTCCCTGTCGTCTTCTATCTGAAATCGACACTTTTGTGCATTTGGGATTAAAAATATCGTAAGTAACACGAGGATAAAGGCAGCCAATTTCATTACGATAATGTTTGTCAAAAAAATCACCGTAAAGAAATGGCTGACTTAATCTCTTGTTGCTTAATATCGTCGGTTGGGGGCAGAAAGGTGCCAATTCAGACTAGTCGTGAAAAAAGTGCCGTTTCAAAAAACACGTGAGAAACCTGCCACTTCAGCTGCGATTTGGAAAACATGCCAACTCAGAATTGACGTTCATATTTTTTATTTTAGGTTGACATTTGACAGTACAGAAAAATTTGAAGCAAAGATTATAAAGTTGTACAAAAATTATTTTTTTAGTTGCATTATGCATAATTGTTATTTTTCTTTAAAAAAGGAATATTTTTACTAATTTATTGAATTAATTTGTTGATTATTTATTATTTGATAGACAACTTCTTTCTTGTACCTAAAATAAAAAAAATGAACATCAATTCTGAGTTGGCATGTTTTTCAAATCGCAGATGAAGTGGCAGGTTTCTCACGTGTTTTTTGAAACGGCACGCTTCTCACGACTTGTCCGAATTAACAACTTACTGCACCCAACCGACAATATACTATTTTAAAGATAAGTGGTATTAATTGTTCGCAGTTAAAAAAGCATTTATCCAAAAAGATTTCCTAGTAATTATTGCTGAAAAATTAAATTACTTTGTTGTAAACAAGAGCTATTGACGTAAAAAGGTGTTTTCCTTTGATAAGTTATAAAAATTTTTGCTGTAATTTATAAAATTATTATAGCATGAAACTCAATTAAAAATTATTTTGGTAATTTCTGGAAATTAAGAGACGCATGAATATTTCCCAAATGACAAGTAACCGAACTGTCATTTAACCGAAATGCATGTAACCGACCTGTCATGTAACAGAATTGTCATTTGACCGACCCATCATGTAACAGAACTGTCATTTGACCGACCCGTCATTTAACCGATCTGTCATTTGATCGACCCGTCATGTAACCGAATTGTCATTTAACCGACCTGTCATGTAACAGAATTGTCATTTGATCGACCCGTCATGTAACAGAACTGTCATTTGACCGACCCGTCATTTAACCGACCTGTCATTTGACCAACCCGTCATGTAACAGAATTGTTATTTAACCGACCTGTCATGTAACCGACTTGTCATGTAACCGAATTGTCATGTAACCGAATTGTCATGTAACCGAATTGTCATTTAACCGAATTGTCTTGTAACAACCCTTTTCATAGAAATTTGTATGAATTTCTTTGAATTACTGTAAATTTCCAAGAAATAGGTTGTTACAAGACAGTTCTGTTAAATGTCGAGTCGGTTACCTGACAATTCGGTTACATGACGGGTCGGTCAAATGACAATTCGGTTACATGACAATTCGGTTACATGACAAGTCGGTTACATGACAGGTCGGTTAAGTGACAATTCGGTTACCTGACAATTCGGTTACATGACGGGTCGGTCAAATTACAATTCGGTTACATGACAAGTCGGATACATGACAGGTCGGTTAAATGACAATTCTGTTACATGACGGGTCGGTTACATTACAATTCGGTTAAATGATAATTCGGTTACATGACAATTCAGTTACATGACAATTCGGTTACATGACAAGTCGGTTACATGACAGGTCGGTTAAGTGACAATTCGGTTACCTGACAATTCGGTTACATGACGGGTCGGTCAAATGACAATTCGGTTACATGACAAGTCGGTTACATGACAGGTCGGTTAAGTGACAATTCGGTTACCTGACAATTCGGTTACATGACGGGTCGGTCAAATGACAATTCGGTTACATGACAAGTCGGTTACATGACAGGTCGGTTAAATGACAATTCTGTTACATGACGGGTCGGTTACATTACAATTCGGTTAAATGATAATTCGGTTACATGACAATTCGGTTACATGACAGGTCGGTTAAGTGACAATTCGGTTACCTGACAATTCGGTTACATGACGGGTCGGTCAAATGACAATTCGGTTACATGACAAGTCGGTAACATGACAGGTCGGTTAAATGACAATTCTGTTACATGACGGGTCGGTCAAATGACAATTCGGTTACATGACGAGTCGGTTACATGACAATTCGGTCAAATGACAATTCGGTTACATGACAATTCGGTTACATGACAAGTCGGTTACATGACAGGTCGGTTAAGTGACAATTCGGTTACCTGACAATTCGGTTACATGACGGGTCGGTCAAATGACAAGTCGGTTACATGACAGGTCGGTTAAATGACAATTCTGTTACATGTCAGGTCGGTTAAATGACAATTCTGTTACATGACGGGTCGGTCAAATGACAATTCGGTTAAATGACAATTCGTTTACATGACAATTCGGTTACATGACAAATCGGTTACATGACAGGTCGGTTAAATGACGGGTCGGTCAAATGGCAGTTCTGTTACATGACGGGTCGGTCAAATGACAATTCTGTTACATGACAGGTCGGTTAAATGACAATTCTGTTACATGACGGGTCGGTTACATGACAATTCGGTTAAATGACAATTCGGTTACATGACGGTTCGGTCAAATGACAGGTCGGTTAAATGACGGGTCGGTCACATGACAGTTCTGTTACATGACGGGTCGGTCAAATGACAATTCTGTTACATAAACGGTCGGTCACATGCATTTCGGTTAAATGACAGTTCGGTTACTTGTCATTTGGGAAATATTCATGCGTCTCCACAAATTA